ATCACAGCTCTATGGAGCAGCATCAGACTCATTCTGACTAGAATTGAGTCGGACTACGTCAGGCTAGAGTGGGACGGGACAGGAGTGAAAATCCACTCCCGTGTCAGTCTCTAGTACCCGACACACGAACCAATCGACCCCCCAATGCTCGTGCAGGACGCCATGGCTGGAAGCTAGCCGCCGCTATGCTACGTTACTGCATGTTTGCACCACATTTATCAATGCTCTGAACTTCCAGATCGCGTTTTTTTGCACCATGTTTTTTTTTCAACACTGTTTACATTTGATCACTTGCTGCACTTTTTGGAAAGGAAATATCATGAAAGCTGTACAAAACAAAATGTCTTGTTGTTTACGCTCTGCGTTTACAAAACGACAATAACTGTTGTCTAAGTCTAAATGATCTTCTTTGGTTGCACGCCGCCTGCAGCGCTGACCAAGCCCCGCCTTCTGCTGGGCTCAGACTTTATCTTTTCTATTATTAAACCAGGAACGACGCTGAAAACATTCATGTTGTTTTTTTTCCATATTTTCCTGCCTCAATACCTTTGAAAATAACAAAAATAAAGTAGATGTAGCTACAGCTAGCTAGTTAGCTCAGAAACCAGTTATACTAGCAAGAGAAAAGCTACAATCTTTAACCTTTTTTATTAAAACTTTCTTTTAAAAAAACAACCTCTCTCCCAGTTTCCATCTTTTGGGTAGAGATGTGAACGGTACGGGCCGTAGGTCCGGGTGAGCGGGCCGGTTTACGCCGATCCCTCCTCCAAACAGGGTCCATCTAATCGGCTGATCCCATCATTTTGCAGTGGGTCAGCTTACAGCGCGGCTGATGAGGGTGATGGAAGGGAGGCCTTCCAACCTCAAAGACTGAGACTGATGACACATGACTGACACATGATAATGTTAACATTTGAATGGAAATATGGCTGCTGGTTAACAGCTCTGACTTTGCTGGACTTTGCTTTCTGGAGTCTCATGACTGAGTTGAAGTTATGGTTTATTTTTATGATGCTGATGTCTCACTCTGCAGGTCAGAGGTCACTTCCTGGTTCAAGGAGTCAATATGTGAGGTAAAAGTTAACAAACAGTGAGGTGCTGTCAGTCCAGCTGGTCTTCATGAACGTTTCTTTCTGAGCAGAACAATGACTTCAGGAGTTTAGAGCTCAGAGAGGATGAGGTGGAGATGAAGGACCCAGAGGATTCGCTCCACCTCATATTCACCACTCTGGCTCAGTCAGGGGGGGGTTTACCATTAGGCAATACTAGGCCGCTGCCATAAAACTCTGTTTCCATGTATGTTAATACGACTATTCCTTATTTATTCACATTAATTATGTTTTTGATA